AGGGCTTTTAAATCTGGTTTAATGTATATGAAGCTGATCGAAAATGAAGGAGCCACCCTTGTTTTAGCTCCTGGCCCAGATACTTATTATGTACATGAAAAAGTGCAACTAAGAAAAAATAGCCGCTCAATAGATGAGAGTGATGTTACAGACGCTATATGCGTCTTACAGTAAAACATACTTAACTGTTCTCGTCGTAGGACACAGTCGGCTTATATTAAGTATATTTTGTCCATCGTGTTCTCCTGCTCAGCGGTAAGAACGGAGAAAGACCACTAGTACTGCTAACACTACTTTCGGTCTCTGGATAAGAAACACGGGCTGGCAATCCTGCCTAGAATGCATCGATTAATAACCGGAGTCTCGGGAGGACCTTACCAGGTCCTGAAAGTATCCAGTTTAAACACGGAGACCGTCCAAACAATCTCGATTACGCTTACATCGCTTTGCTAGGCTCGAGTTTTGATGATCTACAGTCTGTGGTGTCACGGGTGAACTTAGGCACACAATTAATCGGCTTATCCATAAACAGTACTAGAATTGAAAATGCGATTCCCAGATGGTAAGTCAGAAGAACGAAGAGCGTTCACCGGGAGAGGTTTATTTTGTCTAAAGTTTCGGATAGTTGTTTCGTCTACTCATCTTCAGGAACTGAATATTCGGGCTCATGCCTCTCGTTATATGTCGCTCTTTTTCCATGTACGCATTCTGCCAATACCGGCTGAGCCGCTGTGTCTAGCTCGCATTTCACTGTTACTTGTGTCCATGCAGCTGTCGCCCCCACTAACTGTCCGTAGTGTTGTATCTGCTGCCGTGTCGCCAGTGTTCTTTCGCTCCCACGCGCATTGATCGTCTGTTGTTTCGCGTCGACCCGCTTCTCGTCCTGGCTTGTTTCATGCCCATACATATTGGTTGTAGAGATAGTTGGCGGCCCCGATTGTTCCATGCCGTGACTGTCCCCCCGATAAGAAGGTTCTTAAAACCAGATGGAGTGCGGTTAAATTTGAATGGCGGTTTACTTAATAGTCGGTCCGCATCCAGGATTCTTTAATCTGCCTCGATGTGTGATCATCACTTCGGCCCACAATTTCAACGCTCTTACAGTTGAGTACGTGTCCATCTCTGCAGCACTGGTTGCTACCTCCGACTTTTGGTCCAAACTTCTTACAGCCAACTGATGCTCATGTGTTCGCGTTTGTAGCTGTCGGTCGGTTCCTCCAAGACAGTTGCACATTCCGCACTAAATTAAAGTCCGTAGACAACGACTAACTTCTTCTGCTTGGGCATAGGTTCTTTCGGCCGCCCCACTTCGAGGGTTGTGGGGGTAGGCCTGTGGGCAACGCTTATTCCAAGAGGCGCGAGGACTCTAGCCCCGATTTCGGAGACCCCTTCCATGTAAGGAATGGTCCGCCAAGACTTTGGTGGGCAACGCTTCCCGGTCCGCGTTTGTGGTGGCTGCCAGAGGGACAAAGGGCGACATCGTCCTTCGAATGGATGCTACTCGCCGCGTTTTTAGGATCCTTGGAAAGAGTCCATGGACCCGACGCGGTAGCTCTATCACCACAAAGATCCACCTGTATCGTGCATCCGTCCGATTAGACCTTCTAGATGGCTTCGAATGCTGGACATGAAAGATGCACATAAACTGAAAGTGATTGACCACCGCCGTCTGAGCGCCACCCGTTGAGTGACATATATCGACTTCGTCCGAAATGAGACATTCCGCACTCGCTGCGACAAAATCAAAAGGATATCCCATGTCACCCAAGAAATACGACTGCAATGCTTTTGGCAAATTTTTAGTCGTCCGTCCCACGACCTTACGGTTACTACCCTCGATCCGGCTTTTTCCCCCCCTCCGCCCTGACCCCCCTTTGATCTCTTAACAACTCCCCCTACCCCCTCAAATACCGTTGATTGGTTGCTTAAACCTTTGCTAACTCTACCCCTTTTATATTATTGTACACGCCTGAGATGAATTAAATCGAAAACGTTCTGTTCGCCTATCTTGACTTCTTGAATGCTTTAATGGGCATCATCGCTGAACTTAATCATCTGGAGGTGTCGAAGAAGAAGCCAAATAAAACCTGGCTCGACACAGTTCGTTAAAATATGGAAGTGTTTCTCGGACCTTTTGTTTTCGGTTTCCATCGCTGTAGGAGAGATTGGGTCCCAGTATTCAAATCCGCTGCCGCAGAACACTATGCGTAGAGAGGTATAAACTGCGATACCATCATTACTGGCTAGATCAGGTAGGGTCAAAGTTATATTTCTCATAGCAATGTATGCTTAACTGCTGATCACATAACAGAGCCGGTTAGCGTTAACTGTATTCTGTGGATCATGTTTCTCTATTCAGTGGTAAGAGCATGGAGAAAAACAACTAGTATTCTACAGACTGGCCGTCCTCTCCAAACACAAAGGAACACCAGCCGATGCTCCTGCTTATTATCCCTTATTATCCCATGCTTGATGTAAGAATCGTTGGGTCACATAGTGTTGGCCTGATAGGACATCATCCCAACAAACGTACTTTGGGCAATACGGCTCCGTGGACAGGCCACGCTTTGGTAAACCGGAAATGCAACACAAGGTATTTATACATAACAGTGGCTGATGATGATGAACTTTGAAACATTTGTTCCTCGGTACAAATGTAAAAAACGTAGACAGCAGGATTTATTGAATTCGATAACTTTTGCGACAGCTTTTCAAATGCATCTTGTCGTTGCATGAGCTTGATAATGAATAGAACATACAACAGTTTCAATTTTCACAGAATGACATGGCATAACAGTGAAGGTCATAATTTACTATAAATAATGATCAGATGAAGAACACTGCAAGCAGCTTGATCATATGGTCAACCTCCAATAACCCTGGTAATTGGGCACTTAGTTTTAATCCCCACGTGATTTTCGTTAACTTCCCTCCCACTCCCTTCCTACACGCTGATTTAATGTAGTGACTTTCATCTGATCCTGAATAAATGAAAAGGTTAGCGTTCCAGTTATCTGCATGGATAAGGAAGAAAACTTTTCGAGCACCGGATCAATAGATTTATTGTCCTGAGCTTTCGAACACTTGCAGGAGTCCATCTTTATCTGACCATTATTTATAGTGGATTATGACCCTTGCTGTTATGTGATGTCAAGGCAACAAACTGTTGTGTGTTCTATTCGTTATAGAACTCATGCAACGACGGGATGCACTGGAGAAGCTGTTGCGAGATGATGAACTTGAGAACAGTATGACGAAAACTCTGGGTGATGAACTTACCTGGGATTTTCGCTTTCGGTTTTTTGCGTCCACGATTCAAAACTATGCGCAGAGTCGATTAGGCGGGCAATCTTTGATGAAACGTGCTCTAAAATTTAAAAATAGCATGATAGGCAAAATGTAAGTGTGCACGGTGCGGCTCAATGCCTCTCCTAAGGTCAAACATGGTTTTATTGGACGAAGGATGGTTTTCTACTTTATGTAAGGCTCAGTAGATTCTTGTAACCATAAACATAGTACAGAAAGGAGCGTAAGTTTAAATCACTCAACGATATAAACAAAAGGCAGATGATTTTTTCACACGAATATTGGCCTGTTAGCAACGCCGTGGCTATCACAACGCTGTAGCGAGCGATGACGAATTGCCCGTAAAGTGGATCACGATGGGGTAGACTGGCGAAGCGGTGATCTTAATTCCTACCCACACTCCCCGCTATTAAGTGATAAGACGACTGATGACGAGGTGGTACTTAATGACTGACTTTGCATTTGCACAATCTACACATTCCCCACGCGTGCCGGAAAGTGAAGCAGACTTCATTGGCCTGGATGTGGCAGAGAAACGTTGGAACAGAGCAAAGAGCCATTGTAATTGTATCCTCAATCCGGAGGACAAAGGTAGCTCCCCAGTTGCGACCCCTTGAAGCAACAAAGTGCAAGGCGCTGTGGTGAAGTATTCAGTTTATGTTTACTAGAAACGTCTCAGATTTACCACCAAAAAGGCAAACTCAATCCGTAAAGGCTAGACATAATTCAGCCCTTTTCGGACGATAGAACGCCTGTCCTCAAGCTCCTTAGGTCTTGTTTAACAGTACCGCCTACTTAGAGTCACACTTACGACCGGTGCAAACCGCAGAAGTAGCCATGAGTTTGAATCCTACCGACATCTAGATGAACGTAAGTGCCCACGATTACAGGCGCGAATGTGGTAGTTAAACATAACAGTCTAATAAACGGAAGCTCATAACATAATTTGAAAAAACACTTACCCAACTTGATGCCATGTGTGCGGATATGCGGCAGCAGAGAACAAACAAAGTGTTCAAACTCCACCCAACTGCGGTTTAAGGATGAGGCCAAGGTAGATACCGATATTGGGAGAACGGGGGAACTTGAGAAGCGGAGAAGAAGGTTAACATTCAGTTTGGCGAGCAGGCGGTGCAGCGGCAGCAGTTCTCCTGTGGCAGAAGGGGGATCCGTGAATTTGATCGCCATGTCGACCGAGTCGTATTCAGTATGATAAGACGGCGCCTCAAACATAGGGTAGGCCTAAAATGAAGTCCAGATCAACAATCCAGATCAGCAATCAAATGTTGAATGAGCATCACTTTGGAATACAAAATTTGATGGCAGAAAGGCATGCAGACCGTGGACAGGTATGCTACTGACAATAAAAAGATGTGTAAGGGATCAAATAGGACTAGGGGAACTCTTCTCTCTCCAATGCGTTTTGGTAGACAATACGAGTAAATTATTCAGATGCTTTTCTGAGGTTTAATAAAAATCAAAACAAAAGGTTGTGTTGGTCGCTAGATAGAAGCTCCTCAACCCTAAGAGGGAAGGACTTGAGGTTTAGGTCAGAGTTTAACTGATCCTTCAACTAGACGACCTCCCAATCAGGTCGTGGAGTTAGTCTATTCGCTCCAAATCCTAGGTCAAGAATACAACTCCTTCAAATCTGAGGTATAGATGGGAAATGAAGCTCGTCAAGCTTTATCAGTAAGAGCACGATTATTGGTTGCTGGCGTCTGTGCAAGCTCCCGTGCAAAATCTAGACGGGAACTCCAAAACAAAAGTAGAAGGCCCGCACTCCTTTCTGTAATCAGAATATATTGATGGGTGTCACTCGTGCGAGACGTGAGATATTGCTCCTTTCGATTAGAACTCCTTCCAACTTAATGTAAGGCGTTTTTGATGGGTTTGTATGCCCAATGATGCCTGCCGTACCCTGATCTAGCTTCTTGTTGGTCCAGCACATCTACTGCATAACTCGCGTAGGGGGCCAATTTAAGATATGGTCACGAGCAATCAAGCAAGTATTGGACTACGTGACCATCTGTGATGAATGCGGGCGCCGGCAATTTAGATAGGTAAGCATAGCGACCACATCCTACAACACTTGTACAAACAGCATCCTTATGTGATCCTGTCTCTGCCGATGCATTCAAGTGTAGACCAGAAACCTCCAAAACTATGACAATTCTTTCAGATATCACGTCTCCTTCTTTCCGACTGATTCCTGAAACTCGTCTCTTTGCGTCTATCCAAAGACGGTGTGTTTTGTTGAGGATGAGGTCCAGTAATTTTCGTCTACCTCGCGATTTTCGTCATTTTACCCCTTTAATGGAAAACTGATTTGTCAGCTCCGTGAAAGATCTGAAAGATCTACAAGTGCTTGTTCATCGGACCCCAGAGGCTGCTTATCTTGTCGGCTGCCTTCACTGGAGTCACTACCAAATGATCGGCAGGCAAACAGGCAACTTCTTCCAGGGGTCTTGCAATCTTAGAGTCCGGGCATGACAA